GGGCCCTCCCAGCTCTGCCATCTCCTGTTCTCAGGCCCCTCCCAGCTCTGCCATCCCCTGTTCTGGGGGCCCTCCCAGCTCTGCCATCCCCTGTTCTCAGGCCCCTCCCAGCTCTGCCATCCCCTGTTCTAAGGCCCCTCCCAGCTCTGACATTCCCTGTTCTAAGACGTTAGAACTGGGCTAAGTGGCAGAGGTGGGATTCACACTGGGCCCTAAGCACACAGAGCACGTGCCCTCCCCAGGGGCCAGTCTGCAATTAACAAAGGCGGTGGACTGGTCCGGGAGGGGGAGGGGTCCTGGGCTTGGGAGCCTCGGCTGAGTTAAGAGCAGGGGAGGGGGCTCCAGGGACCCCAGAGCAGCCCCGGGGGTGGGGGCCGGGCACTGAGTAGGGGCTTTACTAGACACCTCCCCCCACGTCTTGCGTGAAGGCGGGGGGGGGGCATCCCACCAGAGACCCCCAGCCCTCCCCCAAGACCTCCTGGGCTCCACTCCCCTGCCCCCCTCCCCGAACCTCGGCCCGCCCCGCCGCGGGGGTCCGGGGGGGGGGCGGCCGGACGGGGGCGCAGGCGCGCAGGCGCGGCCCTGGGGCTCGGGCTGCGGCTCCCACTTGTCCCCCGGGGATTGGCCCCCACGTGTGGCACCGCCCCCTGGGAAGCTCCGCGAGCGGCGGCCTTTGGCCCGGACTAAAACCAAACGGAGCGGAGCGGCCGGCGCCGGCCTCCGCCCCCATGACCCCACCGTGCCCCTCGCCCCGCCCGCCGTCCCCGGCCTCCCCCGGGCCTCGGCGCCTACCTTGTAGAAGGTGATGGTGTCCAGAGGCAGCGCGCCTTTGGTGTGCAAGCCGCGGCCGCCCGGCGGGGCGCCCAGCAGCAGCAGCAGCGCCAGCAGCAGCTGCAGCGCCCGCGGGGAAAGGGGGGTCCCGCCGCCGGCCCCCGCCGCAGCCATCGCGCCCCCCGGCCGCCTGCACCAGCCTGCCCGAGCCGCAGACGCCTGGCCGCGGGAGGCGGGGAGGGTCATGTGGCGCTCCCGCCCCCGCCCCGGAGGGGGAGGATCGGCCGCCCGCCGCTGGCCCAGCCCCGGACCCGAGGGAGGGGAGCGGTGGGGGGAGGGGGAGAGGGAGGAGGAGCGCCCGGGAGAGGGAGGGGGAGGGGTGGGAGGAGCAGTCTGGAGAGGCTGGGGTGGGGTGGGGTGAGGTGGGGGGCGGGTGGGAGGAGCAGCCTGGAGGGGGGGGGGGGACAGGCCTAGAAGGGCGGGGGGGGGTGGGGGGGGGGGCAACCGGGGGGGACGGGACGGGGGGGGGGGGAGCAGCCGGGAGAGGGTGGGGGGCGGAGTCCCAGCCAGAGGGTCCGGCCCTCCCCCCCTTACACATACGCACAGTCACCCACACTGTTAGGAAGAGCTGGGCGGGCCTAAGTCCAGCCCCTTCGTTTTGCAGAGAAGGACTCGGAGCCTACAGAGGCCAAGGGGTCGTGACCAAGGTCACACTGGTATTAGGTGGCCGAGATCTGGATCCCCGTGCTTGGACTCTAGAGCGAGACCGGCCTCTCCTGGGGCTGCTGTGAGCTCTGGCCTGTCTTCATTCTGACCTAGAAGAAAAGCTGCTTCTGCCACAGCAGGCCTGGTTCAGCCCAGGCTATAATTTAATGCAATAAGTATGTATTTTGAATGGGCGAATGACATTCAGCTCTGAACAGCTCCCAACAGAGAGTCTATTATTCATTCATTCATTCAAGGTAGCTATATGGTGCTGTGGATAGAGCTAGCGGCCTGGAGTCAGGAAGAAGACCTCAGTTATTTATCATTATTAAAGAATTTTTAACATTCATTATTTTATTTTGAGTTACAAAAAAGCTAAGTTTAAATCCAACCTGAGACACTTTTTAGCTGTGTAACCCTGGGCACGTCATTCAGCCACTGCTGGCCTCAGTTTCCTCATCTGTAAAAGGGGAAAACAGTAGCACCTACTTTCCAGGATTGTTGTGGGGATCAAATCAGATAATGATTGCAAAGTTCTTAAACATAATGCCTAGAATAGACCGCATATAAATGTAAGCGATTATTATTATTATCATTATTAATAGGACCTACCTCCCAGGGTCGTTGTGAGGATCAAATAAGATGATGTTTGTAAAGTGCTTTGCAAACTCTAAAGTACTATGTAAATGCTAGTAAATATAATACATTGTATATAATTCTATATACTTACATGTCACATACATTTTCATATATTGCATATAATCATGTAATATTAGCTGTTCATCCATTTAACAAGCATACTTGTTAAATATAACAAATCATATAAATGATATCAACATAATAAGCCCTACTGTGTGCCATGCAAACACCTAGTGTGCTGGGTGCTTCGGATACCCCATGAAAATGAACCAGTACCCTGCCCTTCAGGAGTTCCCGGAGGTCGGGCATGGCTTCATTTTTGCCACTGCATCCCTGGTGGTCAGCACAGTGCTTGGCAGTCAGCTGGCACTGAATGGATGCTTGCTGGCCTGTACTTCAGGACAACTTTGAGGGCTGAAAAATTTCTTCTGGGAAGTAGGTTGTGGGAGAATCACTATCACCATTTTCAGATGAAAGCAAAAATCAGAGATAAATGAAATCACTTATCCAGGGTCACACAGTCAAATGTCTGAGGCGGGATTCCAACCCTGATGCCCTGACTCCAACTCCATCGGGTCTCCGGACTTGCCATACCATTTCATTAAATAAACGCATATGTATAGGCATATACAATAAGTATTTCTTATCTGCCTATTATGGACAAAGTGAGAGGCAGGGTGGTAGAGTGGATAGAGAGTCAGCCTTCCTCTGGAAGACCTGTGTACAAATCCTGCCTCAGATGTTGATAAACTGTGTGACCCCAGGGCAAGTCACAGCCTCAGTTTCCTCACCTGTAAAATGAGAGGATTGTATTCAAAGGTCTCTGCAGTCCCTTCCAGCCTTTTTATCCTTTGATCCAAGCAAGAGTCCAGGGACGTGTAGTCTATTTGGAGGGAAGACAAATAACTTTTAGCAAAGTAGAATGAGATTCATACAAAGGAGGGATCCAGGGAAAGGACTTGAGAAATGTGAGGAGGGAGAAATCACTTTTACTTGATGCTGGCCACAGAGAATCAGTTGATCCATGTAGTTAATAAACAAGCCCCTACTAAGTACAAAGAGAAAAGCAAAACAGACTTTGTCCTCAAAAGTTTACATGCTAACAGGGGTGACAAGGTGTACATGTATAAGTAGACAAAAGACACACAGCGTGTTCATCCCATGCCGTCTTCATGAGGACTTGAGCATGCACAGACATTCTCCAGACAGCTCCAGTCTGCAGCAGGAATCTTGGCTCAAGGTAGGGTCTGCCCTCTCCAAATGAGGATCCTGGCACTAGGCACTGACTTCTCAACTCTTTACCGGCTTAACTTGATTCCAGATGGACTCTGGTCCATGGGATGCCGCCAAGTGCCTTTACGCCAGGATGATACGGCACTTAGCGCAGGTGCCTGGGTGTGAGGTGAAACCTCAGAGTTGTTTTTTAAGCTGCACTTTTCTACTTGTGACTGAGTATTTTCGTATGGTTATTGATCGCTTGGATTTCTTCCTCCGAAAAGTGCCTACTCATATCCTTTGGTCATTTATCGCTTGGGGTCAAGTGGGAAATAGTTCTTGTTCTGATAAATTTGGTTCAGTTCCCCATATATCTTAGAAACGAGACCTTTATCAGAGAAACTTGCTGCAAAGATTTTTTTCCCCCATATACCTCCTTACCTTCTAACTTTAGCTGAATTGGTTTCATTTGTGCAAAACCTTTTTAATTTTATATAAGCAAAAGCAAACCTTCTTTGATCCTCTCTACCTCTTACTTGGTCATGAACTCTTCCCCTATGCAGAGATGTCCAGTAATTTCTTCCTTGCTCGCTTCATTTGTTATGATGCCAGGCTTTTGTCTAAGTCACATACCCATTTGGAAGTTGTCTTAGTGTATGGTGTGAATTGTTGGTCTATACCTAGTTTCTGCCAGACCACTTTCCAGTTTTCCCAACAGTTTTTGTTGAATGGTGAGTTCTTGGACCAATAGGTGGAATCTTTGGGTTTATCAAACACTGTGTTACTATATGCCTAATCTGTCCCACTGATTGACCTCTCTATTTCTTACTCAGTACCCAATTGCGTTGATGATTACAGCTTTGTAGCATAGTTTGAGATCTGGCATTACTAGATGCCCTTCCTTCCCACTTTTTGAAGCTGACTCTTTAACTGATGTGGCATTCATATCCTGCTGCTGTAAAGGGGCAGGGGAGGAACAAGGGACCCCTCTGGGTTTGTCACATCATACCAGAACAGCTAGGTGGCACAGTGGGTAGAGCATTGCGCCTGTAGTCAGGAAGACCTGAGTTCAAATCTGGCCTCAGATACTTACTAGCTGTGTGCCCCTGGGCAAGTCAACCTCTATTTGCCTCAGTTTCCTCATCTGTAAAAATGAAGATAATAACAGCATCTATCTCCCAGGGTGCTTGTGAGGATCAAATGAGATCATAATTGTAAAGCACTTAGCACAGTGCCTGGCACATGGTAGGTGCTATATATGTGTTTGTTGTTGTCACTAAAATGCCACCTCCTGCATCAGTCACAGGCCCAGAGCTTCAACATGGTTCACCATGAACCCTCACGCCCTGTGGCTCCTATATCCTAAGTTAAGCTCGCTGCATAAGGTAAGAGAGACTTGGGGCTGTTCGTAGGCATAGGGCAAGAACAAGCAGATGGAGACTGAATATTAGTGACATACGGAAAGCCATCTGTCGGAGATGGGATGGGAGGAGATCACATGTGCAGAAGGGCTACGTCTTCTGAAACTAGAGAAAGGAGGAAATAGTGGGAGATGACGTCAAGGAGTCGCGAGATGTGGAGGAGGGGAAAAGAGGAAGCTCTGTGAATGATTTTCTAGCTATAGCGCCAAGCAAAATCTCCAGTTGGAATATTGGGGAGGGGAAGGTGTGGGGGACTTGAGAAAGTGTGGAACAGCCATTGTGGAGAGTAGGATCGATAATCAATTAAGGAAGAGTAAAATAAAAGGTCTGTGGTACAGTGCATAGAGCTCTAGGTCTGCAGCCAGGAGGACCTGAGTTCAAATCCAGCTTCAGACACTCACTAGCTGTGGGACCCTGGGCAAGTCACTTCACCTTGTTTGCCTCAGTTTCCTCATCTGTAAAATGAGCTGGAGAAGGAAATGTATCTCTGCCAAGAAAATCCCAAATGGGGTCAGAAGAGTTGACTAAATAACAATGAAATGACAAGCAGACATTCTTAGAGAATCCACAAAGGAGATAAACAAGAGAGAACAGGGCTGTGAAAACCTAGAGAGGAGAACGTGGTAGTTGATAGTATTCAATGCTGGCTAGAAGGAGGTGAAGCAGAGTTATCTATTCCCAGCCTCCTGGAGAGAGTGTGCAAAGGCAGTGAGTGAGACAGGAAGGGTGACAGCTGATAAAATCCCGAGTTCAAATCCTTCCTTGACTACTTATTAGCTGTATGACCCTGGGCAAGTCACAACTTCTTTGGGCTTTATTTCCTTGTTTATAAAAAGACAAGGTTGTATTAGATGGTCCTTCTAGCTCTGAATGAATGATCCTGAGGGCAATACTGTTTGGAGGTCAGAAAAGATCCTAAGATTTGGAGCTGGGACGAAAGAGACCCTGAAGTCCAACGTCACCGTGTTGTTGGGTCACTTTTCAGTCATGTTCGATTCTCCGTGACCCTGTTTGGGGTTTTCTTGGCAGAAATCCTGGAGTGTTTTGCCATTCCCTTCTCTAGCTCATTTTACAGATGAGGAAACTAAGGCAAACAGGGTTAGGTGACTTGCCCGGGGTCACACAGCTAGTCAGTGTCTGAGGCCAGATTTGAACTCAGGTCTTCCTAATTCTCAGATCCACGCTGTATCTGCTGTGCCACCTTGCTGACTGTCATCATCACTTTACAGAGGTGAAAACTGAGGCCAAGAGAGGGAAGGAGACCTACCTAAGGTCACCCAGTAAAGGGCAGTCTTTGGGTTCTGTCGCAGGTTCTCTGCTGTCAAATCCACTGCTTCTTCTGCCCACTCAGAAGGAACAGTATCTGGGCAATGCTCTTTTCCAACCTTACAGTCCTGCCCCTGGCCAGTCCTAGTGGGAGGGGAAGGCGGGATCTGCAAATCGGGTGAAAACATAGACCCTGTGGGAGATTATGTAGAAATGTGGGCCCCCAGTGCTGACAGACAGGAAAGCCACCACAGCCACCTTGGAGAGGGGCTGGGACTACAGAGAAAAGTTCTCAAACTCTAGCTGATTTCGCAGCCGAAAACATGGGCTGCCGTAGACTGTCCTGGCCTGGCCACTCCTTGGACAATTTGAGACTGTTCTTGGCAGGGACAAGAGTCCTTTGTCTGAAGGCATTTTTTATCAGTTGGTGAGGGTCATTAGCACTGTTACCCTTATTGTGGACCTGATAAGGGGCCTCACGTGAGCTCTTTCAGTGTGGATTTCTGACTCAGGAACTTCACCTCTATCGTGAACTTTTAGGACTCCTTTTCCCCCCACTCCAGTTTTCCTCACCTAGTATTGTGTGTAGTATAGCTGAAAACACACTGGAAGCTATCAGGAGAAATGGGTTTGCGTTTGGGCTCTGCTACCTGTGTGACCTGGTGTAAGTCCCTTGCCCTAGCTCGGCCTCAGTTTCCTTGGCTGTAAAGTAAGGAGACTGGATTAGATAACCCCTTAGATCTTTCCAGCTCAGTATTCCGTGAACAATAATGATAATAGAAATAATAATAGCTAACATTTATGTAGCACCTACTATGTGTCAGCCATATGATAAGCACTTTACAAATCTCTCATTTGATTCTCTTTTTCTGTTGAATTCAGTGCAGCAGACATTTAGGAGCCACACCTTAGAGGGCAAGGCCTCTCGGGGTGCAGTCCAAGAGTGGAATATGATCCCCATGTAAATAAGCATAGAATAGTATGAGGTGAGAACTTCCTCTACTCTTTCCACCATGGCAAGAGCTCTGTGATTGGTAGGTAAGTCTGAAGGAGTTGTCTGGGGGTCAAAGAACTTGGCAGCGTTAAATGTCGCACACTTGAACTCTGGTCTTCTTGATTCTAAGTCTAGCCCTCTATCTACTTCCCTCACAAACAGTTGGCACGGTAGAGCTGGATCTGGAACCAGAGTACTTCTGGCCTTGCTTTTCTCATCTGTAAAATGGAGAGATTGGATTTGATGGCTTCTAAAGTCTAGATGAAGCAGTGAATAGAATATTGGACCTAGAGTCAGGAAGACTCATCTTCCTGAGTTCAAATCTGGCCTCAGACACTTCCTAGCTGTGTGGCCCTGGGCAAGTCACTTAACTCTGCCTCAGTTTCCTCATCTGTAAAATGAGCTGGAGAAGGAAATGGCAAACCACTCCAATGTCTTTGCCGAGAAAACCCAAATGGGGTCATGAAGAGCCAGACGTAGTTAAATAACTGAACAACAACGAAATCTCATCTTGCTCTTAACGGTGCTCCTAAGCAAAGGCCAAATGACCACGTGTTGAGTATATCGTAGTGAGGATTCCATTGGAAGCTGGATTGTTCTAGATGACCACTGAGGTGCCGTCCGACTGTCAATTTCTGGGATTTTGTGACTTCTGGTCTCATTTGCTTACTCTGTACCTCCGTTTCCTCCTCTTTAAAACGATGGAGTTGGACTTAATGACCTCTCCAATGTCTTCCATCTCTAGGTCCATGATCTCGAGAGTTGTAATTTACATTTTATGTAATGTTTCTAGGTTTGAAAAACGCTTCCCTTATGTAAGGAGTGTGTGTGTGTGTGTGTGTGTGTGTGTGTGTGTGTGTGTTATACTATTAACCTTAAATGCCTTTCCTGTCCCCCCCCATCACCACTTCAATCAATATACAAGAGGGAAGGAAGGCCTGCACATCTCTGTGGAATCAGTCTATCAAAAGCATAAACCAAACGTGAGAAGGGCTTAGCTATTTCTACGGACTAATCAAAGGTATAAAACTTGGGAGGCCTGCCTCCTCTCTGAGCCCATTGGATGAAAGCATAAGGGCCATTGAGATTGGTTGAAAGGATGATGCGCATCTTTGGGTCTGTGTCTGTATCAGAGAAGGGATTCTGGCAGGAAGGCAGTCAGGCATGAGGAGAGGGGTCTTGAGGAGAAAGCCCCTGCCTTGTGCCTGTTCCATAGGGCGGCAAAGTGGAGGAGGGGTGAGCCCGGAAGGAATGTTACACACACCCCTCCCAACCCCACCCCACTGACCAAGTGAACTTGGGAGGGTGGGAAGATTTGGAATTCCCTTTGGCTTCAGTAGCAGGGTCCCCCCTGAAGCAG